GTCTGGTTCGCAAACCGAGGCAAGGCACAGAAGAGGGTTCGGAAGTCCGGAGGCGGGGCTCACGGCCGCGACTCTGAAACTTCTGAACGAGCACATTATGCAACATCACCAAGCGCTCAGTTGGTGACGTCTGAGTCTTAAGGTCGGTCAAAAATGAGGTGTCTACACTAGCAGAAACTAAAGAAACTACAAATACCCACAAAAGAATAAACATAGAAATACAAAATTTTGAGTCCTTGAGAAACTTTGAGTCCATAGAAGACCGCAGTAGGAAAGCCAAAGAATAAACAAAGACAATAATACTGATAATAATTGCATTGGAGAATTCTACCATACACACCTTAGTTATGCCATTTTCTTCTTTAGTTATAAAAAATTTTCTTCTTTAGTTGTGATATTATTTTAGTTAGGACTCATAAGATCTTTGGTTAAGCCTCATGTGATGTTCGGTCATGATTTTTTTTTTTTTTAAATATAAAGTTATACCATTTTCTTCTTTAATTATAAGGTGCATATGGTAGAAACCTTTTGAGAGGTGTGTACATAGTCTTTCCCGCTAGAAAGATTTAAGAAATTATGGGAATGATGCCTATTGTATTAGCTTCTACCGGAAATATATGTTAAACTGTAAGAAAGTGATACTATAGACACCTTTCAAAGGTGCGTATGGTTTGTACCTAAAATTTTAACCACAAAGATTCATGACTACAACCAATTTGAATCATAATAAAAAATCCATAACCAAGATCACTTTCAATTCATAGCAAAACACCACAAACCCTCTCATAAGGCAACTTGGATTCATAACCAAATATTAAAAGAAGGTATCATAACGAAAAATAGTTTAAGTCCTAATAAAAATCTCATAACCAACTTTATTATAAATTTGACCGGCACAAAGCTCATAACTAAGTACCAACATGATTTATAACTAAAACCACAAATTTTCATAATTGAGGGATATGGTACATACTTTTGAAGGGATATGTATCATAAAATTCCTAACCTGTATATGAGAGATTTAGATAGAAAATGGGCAGTGTCATGGCTCCCACCAATCCCTCTATAGTTCCGCTACTGACCATGGAGTGAATGAGTCCAACATAATCTCTTTGGCAATCAGAACAATCTAAGTGATACTTGAGTTAATGTATAATAGAGGTCAAAACGGGGCTCTAACATAAAGCACTTTCAAAAGTGATACTCAAGATGATGCTCTCTAGCCTCTAGAACTACAGGCAAGGGAAGTAAATTGTGGAATGAACTATACACATCAATTGTATTTTAGCCTTAATTGATCAATGAAGACTTTATTTCTAATGCAAGCTTAAAACAGAATCTATAAATTAAAACATAATAGTAGTAGCATCACATACCAAGAAACTAACTAAAACTTTTAAGAAGATAGAAATTTAGAAGAGTTTATTGAGGGACTTATTTGTTGAAACATGTAGGACATTGATCAAACAGGTAATAGGCTTTAAATGAATGGATACATATTACCAAGACGCTTCCCAATTTTCAAGATCCTCTGGCAAACAATCTTGAAGCTCCTTCAATGTCTTGGAGTTGAGATCATAAGAAATAACTTTGTCAGGAACAACTAAAACCAGAGTAAAATCTTTTTCATTTGCTCCCTAGTAATAACAGAGCACGTAAAATTTACAGAATCTAGTAATGGTTGTGTTTACTACTTCAGGGAATAAAGATAAAATGGGACTAAAATTGACCAGGTACTTCACAATCCAACTGCTGTAAATGGGACTGAAGGATTCTAAATCTCAAAGTAGAAATCTGATAAATCTGAATAAGAAGCAAATGCCCATCACATTTTCCAAACACACACACACACACATGCACACACACACACACACAAATGGATTAAGCATCCAACTCCAGCAGAACTATATCATTCATTGACCATGCATCCATGTTCTGCATCTATTAAGATTCCTGGCAACCTTTTGAAAGTTGCTATGCATTGCATTGACTCCACAAAGAGTGATCTTTTTCATGCTTATAAATAAATTTTAAAAAAAGTAAGCCCAATTTAGTCTCAGTTGGATAGGGGTCTGGGAGGGGATAGATTGGGTTACCTAGCTTTGGCATTATTTGCACTAAATGGTTGTCCTCGAAGCCACAACCTCAAGGTTGAGGAACCCACAACTCACAGCCTCATGCTTATAAATAAAAAGCATAAAAATTTCTGAATTTTAAGCAGCCTAAAAGGGAAAAAAATGGTGATAGTTTACGGACAAATGAGCTCAAATCATGATAGTTTATGGACAAACTAAAAAAAAATGGTGTTAGTGAAGGAGATAAAAGTGTAATTAACCCTTTTTCTTTTATGAAGCATACTTTATCAGCCAAAGGATACATATGAGAACCTAATAGATAAATAAAAATTTAAATGCAAAGCTATTACCTTCTGCAATATCATGGACAGGTGCCATTTTTATACACCAGACATTTGGAAAAAAAAAAAAAAGCAAAAAATGTTAAAATCTTTAGAAAATGCAACAATAACAAATAACCCAGATGGAACACAAAAAAACTAAAAGTAACAGAAACCCTAACTTGGACTCTGGATATCCTTTGATGACCAATTTTTAGTCACTATAAATGATTCATTTTGTGTGTAGATATAGCAGGAGTAGAATGGGTCACTGTTGTGACACTTTCCTTGCTACTCCTAAAAATGGCACCGTTTTTTTGTTTTTTGGCAAACCAAGTCTCCTCTTCCCAAGGGGTTCTCTTCTGGCAATGGAAGACACTCTCCCACTGCAATCACCACACCTACAATGAGGTAAAGAGAGAATATAAACTTCTCACAAAATCAGCCAACTCAACTAAGCAATTTCATTCTCTTGTTCCTCCATAAATCTATACTCTTTTTTTTAAATATAAAAAAAAGTAATTTATTGATGATGATGATGATGATGATGATGATAATAATAATAATAATAATAATAATAATAATAATAATAATAATAATAATAGACATTGCAATGGACAAATTGAGAGGGAATTGAGAAAAGACATCCAAAACACATTAATACCAATTATCTCCAGTAAATCAATCCAGAGGATCAACTTCTTGTTGAAAACTTCTTCATTCTTTGATAATCATAGGCTCCATAAAACCTAGTAGAACAATAATTCCCAGGTTATGTTCTCAAACCCATGTTTTAGTTCAAACCACTAAACCACCAATCCCTAAAGATTGCAGGGATTAACCCAACACAAACCCCAATATTGCAAAATATTACTCTACACATACCATGCCCTGTTAGAGAGGAGAAGCACATGAGCTGCAAATTTATTCCCAACTTTGCATCTCTACACTTCATCTATACATACATATTCATAGTACCATATATAGAGATGTCAGAGAGAAGTCTGTCAGAGGCAATGAGAGCCATCAACCCTATTCGATACATATGATCGGCTATGGACTCTAGATTCTCAACACCTTCGCATCCATCCCGTTCTCTTCGTCGTCTAATCAAACCCCAAAAAACCCCCAAACCCAAAAAACAAAATCACAAATTTAGACAATGATATTCGAGTCCAAAACAATCAACACTCAAATGAATCATACATATATACATATCTAAACAAAAATACCTTAAGACGGTGACAGAGAGAGAGAAAATCGATGGCAGAAGAAGCGGTGACCGAGGATGAATCGCCATTAGAGGATGAAGAAGGAGGCTCGGTGGCCATTCGAAAAACCCTAGAAGGGTTGGATGAGGAAGTTCGAGCTCTGAAAAACTTGAATCGAATCAGTTCAGTCGAAGCGAGTGAAGGCACCAAGAAGGATTTACAGAACACTCGACTCCCACTGCTCATTTTTTCAATTTACATTTTGGACCGTTAGATCTCGGTTGATGCTCAAAGAACATTTGGGCGGGAAATAAAGACATCTCAACCATTGAAGTTGAGATGAGATAATTTAAACCATTGGATCAAAATGTATCTCTAAGACATTTTATATATTTTCAAAAACTATCTTCCCTTATTATATAGATATATATATTGTAGTTACGCCCTTCACCAGATAGTCCAGTTTTCTTTCAGTGCGATGCATTTCTTACTCATCTGCTAGACACTTACATAGAAGATCCTTTCGTCTTCTCTCTTTTCTTTTTCTTTTTTAATTATTATTATTTGATAAATTACACAATTGGTTCCTATAATTTTATATAAATTTCACTTTAGATTTTGTAATTATAATTTTATCAATTTTGTCCATATACTTTAATTTTGATTCCAATGTACTCTATCTATCGTTATCTGTTGCTGGTCAAAAAAAAAAAAAACTTATCATCATCTGTTAATATTCAAATGGAAAAAAAGAAAAAGAAATGACATTTGCCAAATTAGAGGGACACAATAAAATTCTGTTAAGATTTATTAATTTTTATTTTATGAGAGGGAATTGTTAACATGCATCTGTCAATGAAAATGTTAAACAACAATGACAAATGACAGTGGAATCATATTAAAATGGAAATGAAAATATGATATGCAAATTGTTGAAATTAAAATTATGAAAATTAAAGTGAAATTTTGTTCCAACTACAGAGATCAATTATGTAATTTACCATTCTCCCTAATCCTCTGTTTAGTTTGGGCCATAGATCAACCACGGACCCTCACTTTAATGATTTGATCTGTTAATTTTATTGATGTATAAATCATTCATAAAAAAGTCAGATTGATAATCAAACAATTTGTTTCAAAATTATACTTGTCATCTATTTCAGTGAAGACAGATATGATAAAATTATATTATTATAATTATCTAATCAATTTAATTTTTCATGGATGGTCCACACACTGAGATTAAAAGATCAACAGATCAAATCACGAAAATAGGACTCAGACCAAACTAGCCCAATCCACATAGCGTACAAGACACAAACCCAACCACCAAATCAACTCTTAGTTGCACTCCATCAATTTATAATTACTGTCAGCACTTGTTATTTATTTAAGAAATTATTCCTATATATATTGATGTATTTGAATAATAGTTTACAATAATGAAAAATTACATATGAAAATGTAAGTTAAACTGAAACGATCTAATGTAGGCACATAATTTTACAAAACAGAAAAGACAGTAATAACAAACCATCACCCAATTTGTTATCATTGTGGACTCAACAGTACAAAAAAATCACCTCCCACCATCCATTGGCAACATCATATGTGCCCTCACACTATCGTACCCAGTTGTTGTTGTGTTACTACAACTAGTAGTACAATCTAACTCAAACCCACTTAACTTCCCACCAAGCAAGTGCTCACTCTCTTCACCATTCAAATCAATTTTAACCCATGGATGCTTCTTCATCTTTTTGTTGATCAACCCCTCCAATTCCATTGCTACTTCCTTCATAGTAGGCCTCTCCTCTCCTTTTACTATTAAGCACCTCTTTGCAATATTAGCTACTTCTGTGAGCTCCTCAACAATTCCTTCAATTTCTATTTGTTCATCAGTAACATGCAACAATCGTTCATTTTTCATACACGAAAGAAAATACCTAGCTAGACTCCTCTCCTTCTCTGGCTTGTCAAATGACAACACCTTCTTTCCGGTGATTAACTCCACAAGGACTACTCCGAAGCTATAAACATCACTTTTTTCTGTCAATTGGTTTGTGAGCATGTACTCAGGGTCTAAGTATCCAAGAGTTCCTTGCATCACCGTTGCTAATTGATCTTGGTCTAGTGGAACCAACCTTGATGCTCCAAAGTCCGACACTTTTGCAGTGTAGTTATCGTCTAAGAGTATATTCGTAGACTTAACATCTCTATGAATAATAGGAATCGATGCTGCAGAGTGCAAATATGACAATACTCCAGCAGTTTCAGCAGCTATTCGCAAACGATTTTCCCATGATAGAGACACCTTGAAGTGGTTATGTATATGCTCAAAGAGAGTGCCATTGGTGATGAATTCATAGACGAGTAAAGGGACTTGAGTTTCTAAACAACAACCTAAGAGTTTGACCACATTCCTATGATTGATCTGTGAAAGCACAACCACCTCATTGATGAATTGCCCTATTTGACTTTGATTCATAATTTGCGATTTTTTGATGGCCACTGTCGTGTTATCTGCTAGAATTCCCCTATAAACTGTTCCAAAACCTCCACTGCCAACAATTCTATTGTCATCGTAGTTGTTGGTAGCCCGCTTGAGCTCTTCTAAAGTAAAGATTTTGACCACTTCCTGGGTCGATCTCTCTAGCCTAGAGAGTTGTTGTTTCAACATTAATCCACCATTTTGCTTGAAGAACTTTTCTTTAAGCTTCATGTGCTTTCTTTTGTTGAAAATCCAATACAACCAGGAGCTACTCACCAAAACGGTCAAAACACCAATGGCAATACCTGTATTTCAAATAAGTCATTTTTAAGTAACAAAAACTATAAACATCTTGCCAATATATTGATTCAAAACTAAGCATAGAAAGACAATTATATGACTCACGATATTAATATAAAAAATGTCATATAAACCTATAAATTTTGCAAAAAAAAATTATTACTACTAATGTAACATGCAATAATAAACCTTTAAAATCTGAAACATACCCATTGAAATAATATGTTATGTATCATATGAGTGAGTAAGATAAATTTGTAAAATTTATTAATTTATATGGCATTACCCTATTAATAATTTTAAATATTCTTTCAAGTTACTGGAGTATAAAAGGATGTGGATCCAATTGGGGATGTAGGTTGCAAGTAAATTCTTCCAAATTCATTAATTATGTGAATTAGGTGTTGTACTTTATTTATTTTATTTTTGACATATATGGCATTACCAATCACAATCTGAAGCACAAGAACTCGATCAGCAGTGCAACGTGTTCCATCTATTTTGCCATCACCATGATATCTCTTGGGGCAAGAGCACGTATAATTCCCAGGCGTGTTTAAGCATTTGCTTTCCTCTACACACTGGTTGAGATTTGGATCTGCACACTCATCTATGTCTGCAAAACAATCAAATCAGAGGAGGGAGGGCTCAATAACATAGTTCTAAATATCGGCCGATACGCTACGTATCGGCCGATACGTATCGGAAAAATGGGGTACCGCGACGGATACAGGCCGATATACCACTAAGATTGAAAATCACAGGAGTATCGGCCGAGTCCCGGTACGTATCGGCCTGTAAGCGTTACACAAGCCGTTACACAAGCCGCGACGGGCCGATACTCACCGGTTTGGACCGTTACGGGAAAAAAAAGTTGAAAAACCTTTGAAATAATTTTTAAAACTTCACCGCCGCAACACCCGATTCCCGATACGTACCGATCGATACTACCGATACCGATACTCCGCGATCGATACCGTTACGTTACCCGATACCGCGATTTAGAACTTTGCTCAATAATGAAATTAAAGCATCACAAAAGCAATATATATAGAATCAAAAGCAATTGAATCCGAACATGATGAATATGAAGCTAGCTAAATGGATACTACTAACCTTTGCAACCATCTGAGAGGTACGCGTTCCCTTTGTAACCCTTGGAACACTTGCAGAGATACCCATGACCAATTTCTGCCTTATAACAATCACTATGATCTCCACATGCATAACTAGTCAAATTTCTCTTAGCTTCATCGCATGTCTCATTATCCAAAATTCCCCAATCAAGCACCAACGGCACCATGTCTTCTGTAAAATTTTGAATATAAGTTTTGGAGAAATTAAACGCGGCTTCTTCAACAACAAAGGCATAGCTGCAGGGATTGAAGTCCGATACATCTGTATGATTGTTGTAGCTACCAGCATCAACTTCAATATAGCTGAGTTGTTTTGGGATGGAGGTCTGGCAGCAACCAATTCCAGAGCAAGATCCATCATCAGGAACGTAGGACATGTTCATACAACTAGACACACACCCAGTTGCAAAAGCGAAACTGTTGTTGTCAAAAATTTGGAGATACCCATATGTGTCACAACCAATAGTAGTGAACTTGTTCTTGGTACTAGATATGGGGAAATTGGCCGTGAAGAGCCATGGATAAAAGTTGCTCTGTAATGGTGTACCAAACAGGTCATAACAATCATGAGATATGTAATTCATGATGCCTACCTCGCCCTCGTCGAGCGATATATATGTAACATGGAGATCGCCATAATATGGCTGGGAATCGCTGCAATTAATGAAGAAATCTTCGCTGAGATAACAATTCTCTTTCGCGCCGAATGGGTATGGGATGCTTAAATTCCCGCAATGGTTCACGCAGCCATGATTCTTCAAATCTGCTTCTGTTGGTGCTGCTGCTTTTGTTGCTGCTGAGAATGACAATATCACCACCACTACTACTTGTACTTGTACTAGCATCATGATGATGGGTTGTAGTTTCAATTGCATTCCTTGCCAGGAAGCCATGGCTAGCTTGCCTCTTGGAAAAAAACCTTTTCTATTCAAAATTCATATATAATTGTCAATTGTAAAACATATCTAAGCAATCACGAAGAAAAAGTATTCCGAGTTGATTAAAGTAAATCAGTAAAAAATAGACAACATAACTTATTGGAATGATTTGCAACTAGTCTAACAATTGTATGGATGGTATTCACCGTAATTAAAAATTTAAAAAATCAACTTAACTTTGCCAGTTATATTAATTTGGTCTTGTACTTCCTATTGTATTAATTTTTTCCTATAATATTTTATATTGTGTTGATTTAGTTTAGTTGATAAACATTTGCTGATAAATTAGAAAAAACAAATATATCCATTTAAATTAGACATTAATTTCTTGTTAACTTTTAAAAGAGTTTATATATGTCGATTAATTTCAATTAAATTTCTAAAGGAGATCTTATTAATTGGATTAAATTTACGCAATATAAAATTTTTAAAGGCAAAATTGATACTCCCAGTCTCTGTTTGGTTGATTTTTCATAATCTGTTTGTGAAATTTTTTTCAAAAAAATTACATACTAGTTTTCACAAAAATAAACACAAAACAATTATTTTTAAATTTTTGAAAATTATTTTCATCCCAAAAAAAGAGAAAATTATATGAAAATAATGAGTTTAAATTTTTCTTTTTTCCTTTTACCAAACTAGTTTTTTTTTTTTTTTTTTTTTTTAAATTCTCAAAACTCAACTGAAAAGAGCTTGTTCATGATACCAAACGCTAATCAAAGCATACAACTTCAAAAGGCAAATCATGCTCTTACAATAGAGCAAAAAGTTTTCAGAAACCAAAAAATGATAGTACTAGAGAGAGATCATGCAATACAACCAAAACCAAATCAAACCCACGAAGATGTCACGCAAATGGAATGCAAACACCAGAATTGAGTCAATTAAAAAAAAAAAACCTTTAAAACAGTTTTCTTGGCTTGGAGCAGTCCCCTCCCCACTTTTGCTTTTGTTGGTTGTAGAAAGCTTGATTTTGAAACAGTTATATATATAGGGATTTGCTGCTTTGTTTTGCAAGACTACTCTGTTTGTTTAGTACCCTCTCTTGTATTTGTCCTCAGGACTATTTTGGTAACTTACAATAATAGCCAAAAAAATTAGAAGTTAAATAACTGTACAAAAAAAATCAAAAATTCTTTTTTTTTTCCTATATTTTTTTGTACATTTTTTTTTTTTTTTAAAACATTAAAAAATCATTCCAAATATTTTTCACAAACAACGTAATTCTATTGGCACATTACAAAAAGTTTTAGTATACACTTTTTGTGTTGTTTTAATATATAAATAAAAATAAATTGCTCATTTATACATTATGTTCAAAAGTTTATATTTGAACAGCTACTTTCTGTTTAGAAATTTATATCTGAACATTTGACTTTTGTTTTGAAATTTATATTTGAGCCGTATAAATAATACATATTGAGATTTTTTGTAGTATATGCTAATAGAATTTTCTTATGTCTTCTTGATTTGTTCTACTTTGTCTATATTTACTTCCTTCACAAGATAGATTGGCTTTTATTTGTGCTATTATTCTAACTAAAAAATTAGACTCATTTTTCAAAATCAATGATATAGAAGTCTATTAAAGACAACTCTTTTTTATATATTATTTGATTATCAGCCAATTATCTTTTTTACACGTCAATAAATTTGGAAAATTGGTCTAAAAAATAAAACTTTTGTTAAAAAAACATCCAATTTAGCGTTGATCCTCTCATTGATGTTACAATAGCTGACTCAGTCATTTGGAGGAACATTATTATTGATGTTACAATAGCTGACTCAGTCATTTGGAGGAACATTATTATTGATGTGTGCGGAGTTAAATTCTACTGTAATTGAATTTGGAATCCGGTGGTGCATGCATGAATGAATGCTTATTAGTCCAATTTGAAGAGTCTTGATAGCGATAGTCGATTGCCAATTCTCAGCAAGACTAATTCGAACTCATGAATTGTCTGAATTTTGCATGTCAATGCTCCCAATTTCATTTATTCTATTTGTGTAATTATTCAGTAAATCTTATTTACGTATTGCTCCAAACTAATGAGCTAGAAAAAAAAAACGGCTACATTCACACAATTTTTTCCCCTCAAATCCCCTCGAATAAGACCCTTACGGTAAGAGTTGGAAAAAAATATGTGAATGAATCATTAATCTAAAACATATTGATTCATATTTATTATGTAATTCAAAAATAAAGAATGACACAATTACTAGAGAATTTTATTATATACACCATATCATATACACCCTTAGTTACCACTTTTCTTCTTTAATTATTAGTTACGCTATTTTCTTCTTTAGTTATGATTAAATTTCTTCTGTAGTTATGACATTATTTTGAGATTTTAGTTATTTTAATTTTTTTTTATTATAATTTTTTTTTTTAATTATGACTCAGAAAGTTTAAAATTATATATTTTTCTTCTGTAGTTATAAAATATATATGATACACACTTTTATACCACAATCTTTCCCCACAATTACTATGCATTGCAATTTCTCTTCTTTTTATTTTTATTTTTATCAAACAATAGGAAAGTAATTACAAATATGAGAATATTTAGATTATCAAATAAATTATTAGTCCATAGTTATTAGAAAGTCAATAAAACCTAACACAACCAATATACCAGCCTACCAAGCCCAAGCCTAACGACCAAATAAATCCATCACTACTTGTGCCTCATGTTGTGCCACAATTCCACAATAACCCCATAATGGAGAGAAATAAATAACCACCACAAAAGATAAGAGTTGAACCTGAAACCTCATACTACAAAAGGTGTGGCCAAATGCCTTGGTTGCATTGTACTTTGTCATTTGCTGAAAATATTACATAAATAAAATTACATGATCCTAATGGATTCATATTCTCTATGGAGAAATTCTGTCTCCATCCAGATGTGTAGAACTTTCCACGAAAATGGCCACTTTCATTGGAAAGGAATTGAATGGATGAGATCAAACCACGATAGCCAAAGGATTTGAAACAACAACAATGTTGTCTATTCAAAAGCCAATCTATTTTTATCTTAACGACTTGGTTTTTGTTCCTTCTCTCTCCATTTCCCATTCTTACTGCCAACAAGGAAAAGTGGTCTCCAATCGATTGCGAAGCTCAGCTCACATGTAATAAATGAAATAAAAATGGGAACAATGATTTTTTTTTTTAAAATATGAAATTATGATTTAAGAAAAAAATGAAGAGCATTTTTGTAAAATATGAGTTATAGCGTGTACCTTAAAAAAAAAATCACACCATACATACCCTAATGTAACCATAACATTCTATAACGAACATTTTATAATAAAAAAAAATTCACACCATACATATCCTAATGTAATCACAACATTCTATAACAAACATTCTAAAAAAAAATATTAAAAAAAAAAAATTCACACCATACAGGAGAAATTATAGTGTGCAATTTTAAAAGAGTACATGGTAAAAAAGTTAATATAATTTTTTGTAATAAAAATTATGAATGTTTGTGGAGTTGCAAGTATGTAAATTTTAACCAATTATAAATTGTCACGTATTATAAAAACTTACAAAATATAAAAAAATATTTTAATTGTACTTTTTTAAATCGTTATACCATTTCTTTAAAATCATTCTTCTATTTTTTCATTGCATGTGAGCTGGGCCCCACTGTAGATTTGGAAAAGTGAGTTATATTGGTTTGTTTTGAGAAGTTGGTTAAAAATTAATTTTTTTTTTTATTTTTTTTAAAAATAAAAATATATAAAAAAAAAAATAATGAGGTGATATGATTCAAAATAGGTTAAAAGTCAAAAATTAACTTTTAATCAAATTCCTAAATTAAGCCATTATTAAGATTTAAGAGCAGTAACAAGAAACAAAACTGCTTTAAGACAAAAGGGGTATCGTTAGGATAAAAATAGACAACCTCTTGAAACCACAACGTTCAATTTATTGTTTCAAATCATTCGACTGCCCTTTTCAATGAAGTGGCATGTTTTGGTGGAAAGTTCCACACGATTTGGAAATAAATTTAAGAGGGAATCACATCTTAGTGAAACAGAAATTTTTTATTTTATTTTATATAAATATGAAGAGATATAAGTTATGTAAGAAATGGTTTTGGAAAAATAGATTTTTTCTTAATTTTGGTCTATTTTTTAGGTGGGACTCATGCGCTAAAGTTGGCAGGTTTAAGTGGTAAGGCGTTATATGCCGCGTTGTGATTCACGTAGTATATTTGGTTGCTCAAAACCATTATCGGGTGAATGGAAAATTGAAGCCAAAGTGAGCTCCATGGAAATAAAGTTTTTGGTAGAAATTCCTTAAAGATTTGAATTAAAGGCTTGTCCCACATTGGTTTGATAGGAAAACTTTTATGGGTTTATAAGGCTTGAGTTTGCAACTTGGGAAGGGCCCCAAGGGGCACCCCAAGTTTGTAGAAGCAAAAGGCTATGGGCAAAGTGGGTTAGACCCATTGAACCCAAAAATAAACACACGCTCGCGCCGCTGCCGCCATCCAGTCAGTTGTGCGTCATCCAGTCAGTTGTGCGTGGTGTGGGGTTGGATTGGGCTTGTCTGGCTCAATTCTTACATTTTTCCAAAATTTAAAATTCAAAATTAATTCCAAAATTCTGCCTGGTTTTTTTCTCCACCAAACTGGTTTTTATCTATTTGAATTTAAACCGAACAGATTCAGTATCTGTTCAAATTCAAACCCAAACAATGTCTTTCCTGTTCATTCAAACCGAACAGGTCTTGTACCTGTTTAAATAGGTTTGCTACCTATTCATTCAAATCTGAACAGCCACTTTTCCATCTATAAATGTAAGTAATCCCTCATTTGGATTTTGCACTCTAATTTTAGTTCTTGTTTCCTGCTATTGTTCTCTACATTTTACTGCATTATTTTCTTGTGAGAAAGAGTGTAAACACAAAGTGTGTTCGTTGTGTGAATAATTTGTAATACTGCTATTATTCGTAGTTGATCATTTTATTATGGGAGATAGATGTCCGCAATCTGAAAGCACCGTGGAGAGGACGAATCTGTCTTAAGGACACAGTGTTAAACACTGGACTTTATCAGAATTTTGTTCAATAAATGCTTAAAGTTAGTAATTAATTTACTTTATGTTTTATTTATTTATTTTTATCAGATTCTGATTTTGTTTTTGTAACAAAATAAGAATCTATTGTTTTATTTTATTTTCTTTACTGGTTCGATTTTTGTAATCAAATAGTTTCTCTCCTTTCTTTATTTCTTCTGTTTGTTGTTAAGTATACAAACATTATTTATTCTTAAT